CTCCATCTTGTCTCTTTGGTTGCCTGTGGCTTCGTGATCCAAGAGTCGTTCCTTAAAGCACATGAAGTCAGTTTTACAGACATCATTAGGGATTTTCTTCCAGTCCCTTGTGACTCTTTGAACAAGGAGGCGTGTGCTTCCCAACTAATCCGATCACAGATTTTACCCAAAATGATGTTGCAATCTTTATTTAAGGGAAGTTAAACATTAGAGACTTTTAGGCTACATCTGCCAACATGGAAACTCCCAGGTTTCCCATAGTGTCCTCATTCCACTTCCTCTCTAAAAGTACACAGATAACCAGTTAAGTCTATAAAGCTTAAAACAGAACAGAGGCTTGTTCCTAATTTAATGATAACACTCTTTTTAGAGTTTTATCAATTGCTATGCATTTTGGAAAATGAGAAATCAAGAATGACAAAAGCAGATCTGTGGCTGTCAATTTTGTTTTCTTCTGTCTTGCACATTTTACAAACACTGAGCCATTTAAGACAGGGCTAAAATAAGGAAAAGCTTTGAACTCACGTGTGAATTTTTAAAACCGTTTTAAATTGTTTAAACTGCTTTCTGGGGGTTCAACTTGATCTTTTTCTTTTCAGAAACAAACAAAAAATGAACACACAAACAAAGCAAAATTCCCACCTTCATCTGCCCCCTCCAAGAGCACAGGCCTTTCAAGCCTTCCTCAAAACCCACTCTAGCAAGCAACAGGTGTTACACGCGGGACACCAGTCCATCGCAGGGCGCACGGACACAAACACACACACTCACACCAGGGCCAAGTTTACACAGGCCAATCACCTACCAGCATGTGAACACGGGGAGAACATACAAACTCCACACGGACAGCATCCCAGGAACTTAACCCAGGGCCCCGGTGAAGCAGCAGTGCTCACCACTGCACCACTGAGCCCTCCTCTAATGATACTCATTTTTTCTCAGTTAACCATATTTTTTTTCAAGACAAAGGCATGTTGTTTATTTCTCCATGTCTTCCGGAATTCGAATTCCTGCTGGTATGAGTCATGTGTAGTCCGGTGGAGAGGTATGAACCAGGTTAGCACTATGCAAGTATTCAACGTGTCCTTTGGATCTCACCTTTTCTCAACTATGGGACTGGCAGACACTCTACATATAGAAAGTGATAAATGTGGGTCATTATGAGGCAGATTATAGGATCATTAGTGCTCTGCAGGAGACCTAGGTTGACTGTTATTGTGGAAGCAAAGGTAAGACTATGACATGGGTACTGGAATTAGAGGTCTTGCAGTGATGGATGCTAACAAGCAGTTTAAGAATCAATCAGGGCCTTTTTTATCCTGTGACAGCAAAGAGCACCATGCTAGCAAGAAAGTCCGAAGCCCGGTCTGTGTGCCTGAGATGTAAAGAGATGTGCTCACAAAGAATGTCACAAAAATGACACAGTGTCCTAGACTTTTGCATTTCAGAGGCTTCACTGATAATACTGTGATCTTCTGTTTTTCACTGTCAGCTTCAGAGATTCACTCTCAATAAAGACAGTCCAAAAAGTCAATTTTTCCAAGGTATTTCCTTTGAACTTGATCTATTCAGTTAATTGGAATAACCATAAACTAATATATTTTTAGAGCTTGAGAATGTATTAGATTGTTAATCGTGTATATTTGTATGTACTTATATCTTCCCTTTTAAGAGCAAAACTATAAAACAGTGAAGGTTTTTTCATTATATAACTAATCCTACAAATCAAGAACCTGTGCACATTAACAACATCTGTAGACCCATTATATCAAGAAGGCCTTTATTTCAGTCACAGGCGTTTCTTAAGGGCAATTTCATTGACTTAAAGTAAGACTTTGTGAAAAGACTTTCTCAATATGAAACCCTGAAGGCTTTAATAAGACAAATCAGAAACCTTTTAATCTTTTGTTGTTCAGATGAATTTCTTGAATCTGCTACACAAAAGTAAAAAAAAACACATAACAGCTGTTTGTAAATTGTACCATTTTCTGAAGATAAGAATTGAGTTTAATTAAAAAAAAACAGGGATAAAAGCATCATGGGCTTTTAAAATGGGTAACCTTTAAAATCTTGCTGTCTTCCCAAGACAAATTTACTGTACGTTCAGTGACTTAACTGGAGCAGTATATTTGAATTTCAGAAAGGCCACTTCAAAATGGATAGTCTTTCTTACGTTCACATAAACAATATTGTCAAATATTATTGGTTTTCTAAGGACAGTGATGAAAGTGAGGTTATATATTAAACTAAGGTTACCATAAATTTAAAGCAAACAGCAATCCTTTTGTATTGGATCTAAACAAATTCAAATAAAGGTAATGGGTTTTTTAAATTTTGCTCTGGAAGATTTCATTATGATTTTTTCTACTTACCAAGACCAGCAAAATCCGCTTTGTAAGCTTTGCTGGGTACATGTTACAGCACCTCGAAGAACTCTCTTGCCAGCACGCGCTGCATGCAGATTTCACATCCGTTTTATTTGAGTTCTTTGAGCTGTAGCTCAGAATAAAAGGATGTTATATATAACAACAGGACAAAATGAGGGAAAATAAATATTACATCACTTAAGCAATATTACTATTATCTTCTTCTTATTATGGACTTGTTAGCCTATTCTGTGTTTTTAGGGAATTCAGATTTACTGTGTGAAGAATCACTCAGAATGGCCTCTCCTGGTTAGTGAGTGCATTTTAGAATAGGGAGAAAGGCTCCTATTCATTTTGTGGCATCCAGATTAGAGAGACAAGGATTCAATCATTGGTTGTATACTATCTAGTTTAGAAGGCAGCTCATCTCTTCTTTTGGCCTCTGTAGGCATTATTTAAGAGTCGAACACTTGGTTTTCTGGGTGGTCTAGATGTGGATCTCCGAAACACCTTGTAGTCTTGTAAATAGAGAATCTTTCCTGTTGTATGTTTATGTTTTGTGTTGTGTGTGTGTGTCACTGTCTTTGTTGTTAAACATTTGTTTAAGCAAGAATGCCTGAATTATTACTGTTTTCACCAAAGCTGTGCCAGAGAACAAAGAATTAATGGGCCTCTATACAGTACTATACAGCACCAACCACTCGGGTATATTCTTGGCAGAAATCCTTACAAGTGGGGGATTTAATTATTTATTTCACATATTGACTAATCTGCTTGGTCATTTCCTAATATTTCTCCATTTCGTAACCCCCCACCTGTAACATGACCTAAGTTCTCTTCAAGACCAGTCCACAGCACCTATTATTATCTACTGTACGTTAGTGGTTCCACAGGGAGTAAGGACTTGGTGCTGATAAAACACTAAACCAGCAAGCAGACCAGTTACCAGTTTAATCAGGCACAGTGCTTACAGGCCCATTTGGACCACTCTGGGTGCAGGTGTGAGAAACACTGCTCTAGATAGTATCAGACTGTACTGCTGGTCAATTATTACCCCAGGTTTCCAACATCTACAAAGCCAGTTATCTTCAAGAAGGTACAGTACATGGTGCGACTGACAGTACCTGACTAGTCCTCCTCATGAAAAGAAAAGTCCAACATCAAAGATGCTGATTAGACATTGCCTGAAGGTTTACCACACATACAGTACAGTGTCTCTGTGCAGCATAAATTCATAGACAAACACAGTCGTAGGTTTTTATTCTACTACACTTCTATCTGTTACATAGTGGACTTACCGGGGCATGGTTTTATTTTCTTACCTTTTTATTATTTTGAGTTTAATACTAAAGTACAGATTGTTTTAACATTCCCTCATTCCTGAGTTAATCTCCTTTAATATGTTCTACATTAACCACAGAGGAAGAGTTTTCATCTGAATGTGTATTTTTTCTGAAGCAGAAAAAAACCCTGAAATCAAATAGTTTTTTTATGCAAACAGAAGTTAGTGCCCTGGGGCATGAAGTCATGAAATCCAGTCAATTATTTTTTTTAAAAAACCTTCATTATCAATCTCCATGGAAACCTTAGCGCTGCATGGAAACTGTAAATCTGGTCTAAAACATTCTGTCTTAAACAGTGTCAGACAGTCAGCTAATTGTTTCATCCTGTTTAAGAGTTCCAAACACAGGAAAAAAAATGTAGCTTTCCGTAACTTGTTGCTGTTCTAAACCTGAAACGGTGATCCATTAAATAAATACAATAAGGCCCGTCTTGATGCACAGAACGCAATAAGATTTAGAATGCATATTGAATGTCCATTTAGACACAATTCTTTTTTGGAGGAAAGAGCGAATCTTCACATACTGAGCTGTTCCTTTTGCATTTTAATCCATGCAGTCCTATTTCTAACTCCCTCCCTGCCACAGAGCATTGTTATTGGATTGTATGAATCTTCCTCATAGAAGGAAAGGGCATCAGAGGAGATGTGCAAAGGCGTGGCTCTTCATGGTCCTGTCTCCCCAGCTCTCCAACAGTGCAGGGCTATAAACTTCAGCAAAGACCTTGAATCTCTTCCTAATGCAAACACTGACTTCTCATCTCATCATATAATATGGAACAAGCTGCCCATCCATGTGGTTGAAGCCGATGTCATGGCGTCTTTCAAGAAACAGCTGGATGAAATCTTTGGATCAATGAAATATTAACTATCAAATGCTCTTGATGGGCCAAACAGGCTCCTCTGGTTTGTAACCTCTCTTGTGTCTGAATGATTCTGTCTATAGCTCCTACATCTATTGTTTTTGTCTTTCGTAATGTAAGACATGTGCCATGAATATAGGTAGAAAGGCATTAACCTAGCTAGATTGTGATTTACAACGTGTTTGCAAAATAAGTTAAACGCAATAGGAACTCTGTGACCTTTTTCATAAGTTAACAAGCACATCAGGGGTGGAGGTGATAATAGAGGGAACATGACAACAGAAACCTGGAAATTGCTTGTTAAGCCTCTTCTGTATTAGAGATAAGCATATGTCAGCTGAATGTATCTTTCTTGGCTGAAAAAGAAAATGATCCCAACAGACAGGTTGAAGAGTTACAAAATTAGCTGATCTCGAAGATCATTCAGCTGTTCCTGAATTATCCAATAGGTATCAGAGGTACTTATGCTAAAGATACATAAAGATGTTATGTTATCTCTGTATCTCTGAATTGTAGACTCTGTGAGTTCTTAATCTAAGTAACAAAATACTCTCTGCAGGGGATGCAATTTTAAAGTATCTTCAACACTATTTAAGAGCTGATTTGTCAGTTCAAGTGCTCAGATACCTATATACCTCAATGACAAGCCCCATGCGCTACTAATTGGATCTCTTCATCTACCTGCTTCAGCAAACTGAACAATTAAATTATGATCAGGCCCAGCTATTAGCCTTCTGTGAGAGAGCCTTTTAAGTTTCTGTGTCAAGACCTTTCGATCAGTTATACAGTATCAGCCTTCAATAGCAGAGCATTTGTCTCCAGTTTCTCTTCCTCATGTTTCTGGTCTCTCTGTTGCTTTCCATAATATGTTTAGTTCAGCCCTTCACCCATGAAGAGTGTGATCATGCTATTGTCACATTATCTCGCCATGTCAATGTCAAAAGCAATTGCAAAGAATGGTATTGGCTTTGATTCCATAAGTGTAAGTTAATTTTAATAACATTTAAAATAAAAATAATAATCAGATCAATTTGGGGTATGTAAATGTTAGCGTTGACTCTATAATGTAGAGTGCTCATGCATCTCAATTTGGTTAATGGCGTTCTTCAGACTTTTAGCTTGCAACCCACAAAACTTGTTTTATCAGCTACCCAGAGTTTACCAGTTGTCTGTTCCACTAATGGGTCAGGGGAGCAAATAATGGCATAGTAAACCAAATGAAGAAAAAAAATACATTCAACAGCACTGCCAAAAGACTAGAACTCTATCTTTGGGATCCTGTTAAAGCACAGAAAAGCATCCTCCTGAAGCTGTGAACATTTTCCACAGCAGTTATTCAAAGTACATTATTGAATAACACTTATCTAGACTGTTTGTACATTCTCTAGGGCTCTGAAATTTGCTCCACACGCTGAAATGACAAGATCCACAAGGTGAGCCCAGAGATAGCTGGCTCACATCCCTGCCACACCGGCTTTTTTGACTCTGATTTGACGCCTGGCAGAAGGCTAAATTCGCCGTGACCGGAGAAGTGCCTGTGAACGATTATCCCAACCGGACCTTGGGAATCCTCACTGGGAAGGCAGCGAGTGAAACCAAAGATGGCCAGCGATGCCAAGCCCAGTCCTTCTGGCTCCAGGAGCGGAGAAACACCTGCTGAATGCATTCCCCCGAGGAAAAGGGGATAGAGAGAGAGAAAGAAAAGGCGACTGTTATTCATAAATCCCAGTTGTCACAAAGCTGTAGAGATGTGACTTGAAATTTGAATTGGATTTTTTTTTTATCGAGCCTGAAAAGTAAATTGGCTCTAGCCAAAAAAGCGAAGGATGGGGAGGATGGAAGAAATCTGAGCAATTCACTGCGTCTGCGGTGTAATTCAGAATTGTCTAGGAAACAAAGGCTCAGGGCTGAGGCTGGTTGGCAAGTGTGCCTAATATGCCATTTGAGGGAGCCAGGTACTCTCATGCTTTTCCTGATCCCATTTACACTGGACTCATCTCTCATTATCTAACTTCACCGGCTGGGGTGGAGGAGGCTTCTTGCACAGAGAACAGGGACAGGAATCAGCTCGTCTAAGGGGGGGGTTACAACTTTTCAATTGGGCATTTGGGCTGGCCTGGCTCGGCCCAGCACCACCCAAGTGCCAGGTGGCAACGAAATGATTGAGAAGCAGTTGGATCTGCTGGAAATCCTCAGTATTTCCCATATATGGATTCCTCAATCAGTAAAGCAACTAAAGAACAAGTGCAGAAGCTACACCAGCACTAGCCAAGAAAATCAGGTATGAGTGAGTACTGGAATCAGTCGCATTAGTATCATTTTTAATGCATGTCAGTCAATTGTGTGTCAATAGCACATTGGAGTCATGTGACTTCAGTACCACATGCTTCACTGACTCTTCCTTTATAAACTATACAGGTTGAAATACAGTAAGTGTTTGTTACTTGTGTGTGAGAGCATCATTCCTTCTTATTTATGCAGTTACTTACAAAATGGCGCTGTGTCTTACAAAGTGAAGTAGTACTGTCTCTTTTTCAGTCACTGTCATCTCTATAAAATCGTTCTGAACTCCCACTTCTGGAATAAAGATACAATTATTGACACCCCACAGTACAAAAAAAGGAATTCTTTCTTAATGCCATTAAAAAAGAAAGGGGTCATTTGGTACACTTAAAAGAATTAATACTGACACCATATTATCAGACTCAGTTCTGCAGTGTAGGCCAGTAATTCATAGAACTAGAAAATAAAATTAACAGCCCCAGAGTGGCATGCAGAGGTTAAAATGCAGCAGCTCACTGGGTAATCCTGAGTTTGAGGAGGGTAGAAAGGAGCACCGTCATTACTGGAATCTTTGCTCCTTATCCAGAGTGCATACCACATCTTGCTTAATAGGTAATTTAGTCTCCTGCTCGGGGTCTTCGTTTTCTGTGCCAATTATCGTCTCATTTTCCATGGCAGAATATGTGAAGCCTATGTCAAAAGAGATAAAGGAGGACACAATACATGAAACTCAGACACTAAATTAAAAAAACTTGTCAGCTTCTTCTGCAAATTCTGCCACTGAAATAAAGAGCATAGTTTGAATTGTGCAAAAATAAGAGAAAAGGAATGCCATGTCAGATCATTCCGAACAAAACTCTGGTGGAAGAAATATCAATCTCTAGTCTTGATCTAATCTCTAATCTCTAGTCTTGATCTAGCTCAGGGGTTTGCTTTAGTCCTATTATTAATTATTGACCTTCGCTTTCTGATTTCTGATCTAGATATGTACTTCCATTTGTTCTGTTTTTGAGGATTATGATTCAACATTACACTTTGTGTAAAGTTAAGTGAGGAACTGTTTCAACCCTTCTGATACTTTTTAGGACACCAACATCACGAATGAAGTGAATGAACACTAAACTCTTATCCAACATTCCAAGATCAAAGTACAACATATTTTAAACACTACCCCTAACACAAACACTACTGTGCCCCAGTTTCCTTCCATATGCGGAAGACCTGCTGTCTAGGTTAATCGATGTCTGTAAATTACCAGCTGTGCACATGTGTGTCTGTCTGGGGCGCTGTCCTTCCCTGTGCCCTGTGCCTGCCTGGTTAGGCTTCAGTTCACGGAGCTCTGAGATAGAATAGATAGAAAATTTTCCACTCACCCATCGCCTTTTATTGAAAATCTATATTTATTTCCAAAAGTAAACTTTTTTACCAGTCCGTTTTTAACTGGAACTCACTTACTTTGAGTCTGTCCTGCGACGATAAGATTTATACCTTGCTTTGTTGTTGTTTGTTTACCCTGGCTACATCGAGTCGGTGATGGGAACTTTTATATTTAAACTGAGAGGAAGGTTTTTAATAAGATGGGTTACTGTATTCCTCTCTGCTGGCTTCAGTGGTCATCATTACAGATCTTGCCTGCTGGATCTAAATTGGCTTTCAATGGAGCAGACAGGAGTGAAATTGGCTTGAGATAGTGCTGAGAAAGGCAGAGAGATCTCCTAATCTCTGACTGACTGAGTTGTCTGTTCCACTGGATTTCAGCTACAGCTTTAAGAATTCCAGTTTTACAACATGAAGGCCCTAAAGGGTTTGCCTGTTACCAGGATTTACCTCTTGTTGTTTGCTTTCTCTTGGAATGAGCAGATCATAATTCTGTCTAACCTGGCAGTGTGTCCATGGATAAATATGTGAAGAGACCGGAACAGCATGAAAACGTACTGTGTGTGCATCATGCAATAGGCATTATCTTGCGTTATAAGTGTTCTCTAAATGTGAAAAGCAAGAATAATAAGGAAGAGAGATGGATTTAATAACAGAAAACAACAGATCACTGAAAGGTAGAGAGGTGTTCTGCAGTGCCACCATCTGTCTGCAGAGGCTGGAGGGAAGAGTTTTGTTTTAATTTCCCGCTCCATTACAGTGATTGTTTTCTTGAATACTGATGGACCAGAGGAAGCTCAGTAGAAGGTTGCTAACTGTGTTTCGTGCAGAGAATTTTGGTGAGGCTGGGTCTTGACACAACATTAATCATCAAGAGAAATAATTAAAATAATCGCAGTTCATTTTTTTTTAATAGAAACGTTATTAACTATCCCCTTATAAGCATTTATGGAAGTGGAGCCCAGCACAGTATAGCAAATTTGTGAAATCATGGCGAAAGCAAAGTGATACATACAGTGATAGGCCAGAATGAAATGAACCATGGCACACCAGGACAAAGCAAAGTAAATACATTTTAAAGACATGGGAAAACCATGAACATACTATGTGGTTACCACAGTAAACACTCATATTGATTGGTTCAAAGTCACATATATCTGCAAGGACATGCAAACTCTGTCAGTGAAACCAAGAATCACCATTTACCTACTCAAAACAATGGGATTCAGTAAAGAATGGCCACATTCACATCCGCTTCTAGCATATTCTGATGTGCCACGAATACTACTGCTTGTCTTCTACCTTCCCAATGCCCCCTCTTGGCGTTTTGCACAACAGCAGCAGCAGGAGAGATTGGCATGATTAAGCACAGCATGAAAATCTGTTCTCTATCCTTGCAAAGCTTTAAGGTACTTTTTTAATAACTGCGTTCGAGGGGTAATGCTGAAGACTGAAAAGGAAAAACGATACCAACAGTACACGATTTCTGTATTTAACTTTTGATGTGTACCTTTTTTGGTGCTAACAAGAAACAAATCTGGGAAATACAACTCTGAGACAGGGCATACCTGCTCACAGAGTCTAAGATCCACTTTTCTCTTTTTTTATTAAACTCTAAGAACAGTTTTTTACTTTATGTTTTTGATGCTCTTATCCTTTATACAACTGGGGGTTTTATTGATGAATTAAGTTACTTGCTTGAGAGTACAACAGCAGTGTCCCATCAGGGAACCTACCAGAAAAAAGCCCAGAGCCCTAACCATTCTCCAAACCAAGCACCACCGACTCCTCTGCTGTTGCTCACTGGAGATTAATGCTGTATTTGATGCCGTACTATTCTCACTGAGAGAGTCATCAGTCACATTGGCTGTGCTCTTACAATACAAGATGAGTGAGGCTCACACATATCCTGAGCAATTAAAACATTTGCTTGAGAAAAGTCCACAGTCTTAAGTGTGAGATTCACTTCTTGAACAGTTTACTACTAGTTCAATTAGTTTAACTTACAATTGCTTCCAGATTTCACCCACTGACAGGTTTGACTTTTAAGTTGTGTTTTAAACCCTGGGCTCTCCAAAGTAGAAACACGTTTGAGATCTGAGAGGTACAAGATCAGCTGGTATTGTGTAAGACATACAGTAAAAAAGTAGGTGGAAGACGCGCATAAAAAAATTTCAACCTGCTCTTAAGTTACATGTTGAAACGTACCGCTGTTGCATCGATTAGTTCAATCACTTTCACTGCAGTAATTCAGTTTTGCATTACTACTTTTTTCCACATTATTGTCAGACCATAACTGTGGTCAGAGATAAATAATCCATGAGGATCTGTCAATGCAATTTTAGAAAAAGCATTATTCCGCTGCACAGTTCTTCTAAAATGACTGGCAGTGGTTTCTCTTTTAAACAGGTCTTTGCAGAAGTCTCCTGAGCTGGAAAAAAACCCGAAATGATTTCCGAGGTTGACATGAAGTTGGAAGGTCGGTGCTGATGGAAAGAGTTGCTCTCGGGCAGCCGGCTCTGACTTGACATTTCTTCTCGTTAAAGGGAAAATTCGCCCCTTAGATCATAAACCTCCGTGGTGAGATGGGGCCTCGATAACATCTGCTGCAGCAAAGGTGTTCCGATAAATCTCGGGCGCTCAAACATGTACAAAATATTTTAATGGCATTTCCAATTTAAACACATCGGTCCCTAACTGGACTTCGGAGCCCGAAGAGGAAGACGTTGATTTATGTACAGTAGCATCAGTCATATCTTTAACACGAGAGACAAAAGCTTTCCACCCGTCCCACGAGTTCATTTAAAATGAAAAACAAACTACAGAGCCCTCCCAGCGACCTGGGGTATTTGTCCCACTTTACGCTGGGTTTTCCTGATGAAACAGTCAATCTATTGTTTAGCTGGATTACAGAAAAGTAAGAGATCGCCTAGATTGCACGGCATTATCGCATGGTGCTGGGATCCCGGTCTGGGTTGTCAGAGTGCCCTGCAGCGCAGAGCGCCACTGAATGAACGCCTTCCCCCGGTTTCACTCTTTTATATCATTGTAAATAACAGGTGGGTAAAATCCAAACCCATTATTTGAAGCCAATATGATGTTGCTCCTGTACACCTTTTAATTTTTGAACATACACGTTTACATCCAAATATATGCGACTTATTATTATGCGATAGAAATGTCTTTACGTATCTATTTATTTTGGATACTTAAATGGAGCTCATTAGAAACATTAGAAAACCCAGCTCCTACAGTGCGTTTTGAAGTAGGCGGTCTTGACGCAGAACCAGTATTTTCACGAAGACACAAAACCTGGAGGGCGACTTGCAGGGCCTGAGGCAGACGGTCGTGAAGAGTCCTACCTTCACTCCAAGCGTACTGTAGCTGAATCGTCCATTTGCACTTGTGCTCTGTGTGCGTTGTAATTGAATTTCATCGGCTGACGGGAATATTCACCTGAAATCTTAACTGTGCGGTGGGGATTTCTGAGCCAATTGACAGTGTGCCCTTCATCTAGTCACCAGGACTCCGCGGACACGAAAACCTTCTGGGAGTCTCAGAAATGTATAGTCTAAATAAATGATCAACTTTATTTTTGAGCTGCACCGCTTAAAGGCTAGTTACACAATCCCACGTTGGGTTTCAGCCTTGATTTGACACGCACGATTATTTCTCTCGGGGGCTCATTGACAGCCTATTTCATCGCTTCAATAACGGAACCATTCAACGTTACCGATAAAAAAAAAAGACTTCAGACTTTTCATGTCGAGTAGCAGAAATACATAAAAGATGTATACGTTTATGGAATGTAGTGCTGACGGTTGGAAAAAAAGACCCTTTGCTTTTACGTACGGATGCTATTCAATACTCTTCTAAGTTAATGATTAAAGTTAGTTAAATTGCTAAAAGACTACTAAATTGCATCTATTACGACTCCAGGTTGGGCTCGTGCACGTGCACTACTGCCCTTTTGCAGTTTGTTAGATGTCTCCGTGCGGTGGGCGGTTCTGTTTTAAATTATGTGGATAGGTTCATGAAATCCGGTTTATTCCATGTGATAGACAGATGTGCTTTATTCCCGCCCGCACCTGACAGCGGTGGGCGAAACCCGCGCAGCTCCAGACTAGCAGAGCCAGTCTCACTGACGGGCGCCAGTCGACAGACTCGCGCTTTCTGAAGTCTCCGTGCTCCTCCCGACACCTGCTGTACCCCGGCACAGCTTCATCTTCAATATCGAAACAGCAGGTGTCTTCATCCCCCTAAAATACCGCCGTGAAAGAGAAGGCGTACTTTAGGGCTCTTGAAAGTCGTTCGATATGTGAGAGACACGATTCCGACTTGCTGCGCGGAATTTCATATTGATATTCCCACATATTCATCTTCTGCAGATCCAGCCGGTTGAGGAGAAATCGGGTAAGTTCACCGTGCATTGCTTTCAAGAAATATAGAGACGAACTGCTGCGGAGCTATTACTGATATTATATTTGGATAAGTGGAAGATCACTGTTTCATTTGATTGTGTTATGTTGTTTAAAAATTAAATGAAACGCATCATAGCGAAAAATACGCTGAAGATGCGTATTTTTATATAATGTATTTATTCTAGTGTAGATGAATAAAACAGAATAATACTCCAACAAGTCGACGATGCTAAGCATACTTTTCAATCCGGTTGTTTTGTTGTTGTTGTTGAAGAGGGTAGTTTGGATCTCATTTTTCCTGTGATGCATTGCTATTTGTGCATGCCACTAATTTACTTCTATTCAATTGCTGTTGTGGGGGCTCCTGAAAACTTATTTTTCTTTTAAGTTAAAAATAAAACTGAACAGTTCCTGCGGTAATTTTACGTGCATCCGATTTCCAGCAGCTCAGGTAGCTGTCCGTGGTGCTGTTCACGTAGTGATGAAGATTGGCGAGCGTCTTCAAAACACGTTATGCACCCGGTTTCTGTCCTTGGTGCTGTTCAGTTAGTGACAAACACTGAGGCGCTTCATCAATATCCACCCATACACCCGGGGACTTCTGTCATATATGAAAGAGTGGTAAAACAGAGGAAACTTTGCTTTTTGTTGTGTTATAAACCGCAGTTAAAATATAGTACACTGGGACTTGACCAAAATTTGTCTCACCTACCAGGCACGCAAGTATCCCCACAGCTATAATATCAAAAGGACCTTCCCACGCTTATTCAACTAATTAAAATTATAGCAATTACAGACGGAATCGGGTTTAGCACAATTCTGTATCTGAAAGCTCTTATGCCTTGTGCAGTGAACTGTGGCGCTGTGCTCTTCTGATGGAATAGGAATGACGAGGATTACTGTTGAGACGCGAACCGGCATCCTTCTTTTTCTGGAAATGTTCTTTAAAAACAAAAACAAAAAAGGCCGAACGATAGATATAACATTTTTACACTGCTCTTCAGTAAGCATAGTGCTCACACACACAAATACTGGAGCTTTTGATTGACTTTTTTTTCCACAAGCCTTTGCGTTACCTTCGCTCCGAACGTGAACAGTGAGCAGAAGGTCAACGTGATCTCAGAGGTTTCTGCTTCCTGAACTCACGGTTCCCATGGCAATATCTTTTAATCACTACGAATAAGGGGCATAACCATTCCCTGTAGCAGATTTTGAAAACAGAAATTATCCAAACTTTCATCCATTTACCTCTAATTGTGTTTGTTCCCCCTCTGGTGATTTGTTTTCAATAGAGGTGCAGTGGAAATATGTAACAGCAATCATAATAATTGTGCGAACCTCAAAGCTACTGTACTGGTCTGAACAAGCTTTAAAAATAAATAGCAGTAATGCCTTTTTTCCAGTCTGTGAACCATAGCGTACCGGATTAATTGAGACCTTTAATAGTAACAACAAAAAAATTGAGAAAAAAAGCAGATGATCTATTTTGAAATCATGCTTTGCTTGTGATGCATTAAAATTGCACAGTCACAAAAATCCAGAATTAATACAACAGTCAGGCCTTTTTTTTTTACAAACCTGAAAGGACAGCGGGTCTCCTTCCTATTTGTCTAGTGGTGCTGCATTGCCTTTACTTTAACTTTAGACCAAGTCTGCTAATTGCTCATATCCTAGTCACCTCACTACTGTGACAAGTGACAGTTTTACTTAGTTTTCATTTGGACAGAAAGGAAGACTCCTAATCAGCTGGCTTTCTTGTTCATCAGAGCTTGCCGTGTTGGAGAATATTTTAGTTTCTTAGCTGGAGGGTGTTGGTAATGAAAACGAACACTGACCTGGTAATTTGCTGAGGAAATGACCTTTCAGAGTGAGTGCCGGCTTCCTAGCCCATGCAGAGATCCACTGGGAGGTCCTGAATGTGAGTTCACTGGGCCAGCTGGGGGTACCCTTCCTCCTCGTGGTTTAAGGACTCCTCTGTGTTCAGGTGAAATACTGAAGACTCACGTCTTGGCCACGTCTTCTGTGTGTCGCGCTTTGATGTTTGAAACACTACCAAAACAAATGCAGGAAGTCACATTGTTAGTGTGTAGAAGGCAACATGTACGGATTAGCTCATCTACAGGTTAGTGAAGGATAAGCTGTGTGTATAAAAAATAAGGTGAAAATCAAACAAGTCTATCAAATCTGAATAAAAGTTCGACAAAGGCAAAGAGTCCACTCTTTTTCTTTTTGTAAAAAAAATGAGGCAGTACTGCCATTCTGTCTTTAACTGTGCCCATTAATCCAAATGACCTCTGAGTCCTATGCAGTGATTTAGGGTAGTTATCCTCTCATCATCTGAAAATACTCGGCCACTCTTGTCTGAGCCCCTCATCTGAAGAAGGTAGTTCTCCATTCAGAGGAGATAAGAGTGACATTATAATAGACTAAATCGGATACTCAGCAGTCAGAATGTGATAAGTGCTTTTTCCAGGGCTGTCTCAGGTTTCTATGCCTTTCGGAACCCTGCAGCATAGATGTACCAGCTTCGTGATCCAGCCTGTATTGTTCACTTCGATTGAGAGAAAAAAAGGCAACCAGAGAATGACATATTGATTCCCACATGTGCCACACCTGGAGATTACCACTGTTCTTCTGTAAAAGCTGTTTAATTTATCTCACATGGGGATGATGTAACACAGTGAAAAAAGCAGGCACGTTGATCCCTCTCAATGCCATATAGTGAGCCTTCAGAAGCCCCGCATCGGTCATGTTAAATTAATGCTTCCAAGTGTTCCATTGATACAGAAGTAGTCCCTTCTTATTGTGACTAGAGTCTCCAGCACTGGAGAGGAGGTGAAAAAAAAGGGAAGGGAAAGAATTTTCCTTGAACTGGAAAATGAGACAACGTGTTTCTGAAGCCAGTGAGTCAGTCTGAAGTCTGAAATGTCAGTGTGGATAGGGTCCGGCAACACTGCAGGTGGGCTTGTGTTGCACGCCGACACCTCTGTGCTCCTGGTGCAGGAGGTAATGTGAGATGTATGCGGCTAACACAGCACAAGTATCTCACTTCAGAAGACAGAGGAATGAGTGGGTGACGGTACGAGGGGGACAGTACTAAGAAGGTCAACAGCCTTCTGTACCATTGGAGAACCCTTGTGTTAGTACGGGGCGTAAGCAAGGTTAATGTAATTTTACACTGATTCCAGCGTCAATACATACAAGACTGCAGACCGTTTGTGCACCTGTGCACTCTCCAAGTAAGCCAGAAAAATGTAGGGGATGAAGTGAGGAAAAAAAAGATAGGGCTGTTATTTCCATTTATCCATTATTATTGGTATGTGGGTGAGGTATTTGGGGTGTGTTTTAGAACATCCGCAGGTGATGGGGATTGTCACTGCCTACACTCAAACAGAAGCATCTGAAGAGTGAAGAGTTTCTCTTTAATCTCTAGATGAAGTACACCTTAGCATTTAAGACTTAAATATCAAATTTGCATTCTGTTTTTTACACTACAGTATACTAATCTGGAGATTTTTCCTTATTTGAGCTTCATTTTCTTTGAACTCCTCTCCCCTCATGCAGACATAACTAAAGAAATCATTAACCCAAGCCGTATTTCAGACTGATACCTTTCTCCTCTTTATGATACGGCCACATTATGGACAAGTCCAATGTTGCTGTGGGCAACCTGGCACCTGAACAGCACTAATAGAGTTTTAATGTACAAATCTCTGTCTGGCTCACAGACTTTGCTGTGGAAGAGAGCTTTCCCCAGTTATAGGGAGAGTCTGAGTGTCAACTGTTTAATTTAAGCAGCTGAAGTTTTGCTGATTAAAGTGCCCATGTTCATTGCACTCTGTCCTTCAGGCTTTGGAAATTACACATCTTTCCCTTTTCCATGCAGCACGTGTGAGTATAAAAACAGGCAATGAGCAAAACAGAGCATTTATGCTTTTCTTTCATGTTTGTGTTATTTTAGATGTTTTGTCCCTTCTGTGTTAAAACTAGGGCTATGACAGATCAACCTTGAAGGAAGCTACAAAACCAAACCTAGAGGTTAAGAGGTTCCTCAGTGAGACAGGAATGATGAAGAACAGTGCAATTTAGGCACTGTGGCCCATGACTTCGCCTTCACTTAAATGTCAGTCCAGGTACAGCTTGTGACAGCACACAGCAAAACCACAAATGGCTTTGACTCACTGAACTGCTTGAAGCTGGATACACTAGAAGAATTGAAAGAGGCAGGAGGTTGAAGAATGTTTTGCACATCTGAAGTGCTTATCTGTCGTGACTTATACAGTACTAATACTTCCCACTTACGCCCAGTACTTTAGCAATGTCTCAGTGTTTTAATGGCGGGAATTTATGGATTATTATTGTATCTCACCATTTCTTGAGCAGGGGAGTTTTGATCATGCTGCATGAAAACTGCATTGCTCAACTGCGGGAGATCAGGTGGCTTGGCGGCAAGCAGAATTGTTTTTGATGAGCAAATTGAAACAATATCACGGACTTGCACCATGCAGAGATAGGAATGTTGTTCCTTTTTTTTAATAACGCAAGTGTTTGTCTTCATCTATTATAAATTTAGAAATGACCATAAAATAAAGGTACAGAAGAAGGGGAGCCTGTCTCTCTCCCTTATGCTCCATGTGTCCGTGATCTTCACCATGTTAGGTTTAATGTATATATTTATATCCAGACTCATTGGTCAATATATTAGGACCCCCTCAACTCCTTCAACTAGATAAATGTACTGGGGCCTCAGTGAGCTCCAGGAACAGCTTGAACAGGATGTGACATGAATTTCAGAAAGTTAAGAAACCTTTGCTGCCCAATCCCACATCTTCTTCCAGCATGATGAAAATGGAACCAAACAGCAGTTTCCACTGGTTCTCAAAACACTGAAGTCTGAGGACCAAAGGTTGTTTGGGAAGGTTTTCATTTTAATATGGAAAATGTCCACCTCACGATATACACACTGTTTGTAAAAGAACATAAGAATAAGAAGATAGGAACAGGCATAGATGTGAGAAGGCCATTCCAGGACCATTTTGCCCAATTGATAGTAGCTATTTGATTCCAGAATCTCATCCAGCCATGTCTTGAAAGAAGCCAGGGTATTGGCTGGGTAGCTTGTTCCATACTCCCAAAACCCCCTGGGTAAAATGGTTGTTCTGAGTTGTAATTTCTCTCCTATGTAGTTTCCACTTATAACGTCTGGTTTGTGTTTCCCAGTCCATTTTGAAGAAGTCATCAAACGTCCTTAAGGATTATGAATACTTCTATCAAGTCTTTGGCTGCCTCTTATTGTCTGCCGAATTTGACCTTTTCATGATTATGATTAACATGTTACAGATAGCGGATACTTCGCTGAGGGACGTTAGCTTTAGAACAATGCTGTATTTAAATAAGTCAATCTTTAGATGATGATCTGTCATCTGCAGTGAATACAAAGAAAACTGCCCTCCACACAGAATACGTTATACTAAAAAAAACATCAAGGCAAGGTAAGAAGCTGTTTGAAGAGGAAGGAAGGCATGAAAAGAAATTATTCCTGTCTGCGATGTCTATTAGTTATCCAGTAGAAAAAGAACATCAGACAGACAGATTTGGAAATAGCACTTGATAAATTCCAAGCAAATATCTTAATACTCAGTCTATAATTTTAACTGTGAAAAATACTTTGTGAATAAAACAAATAAAAAATACATGGCCTTCCTTTTTTCTGATCTTGCATCATGGGTACTGTAGCATTAAAACTGCTGCTTTGGCAAATGCATGCACAAATCTCGGCGAGAATGATTCATATACTGCAAGCCTCAGCTTAATGGGCAAGGACTCTATGTGCTTCTTAAAAAGAAAAACATAGAGCAACATCGTCGCCAAAGAAAGCTGGAAAACAGAAAATAATGTCTAGAGGTGTTGAAAACTGTGATGGATGCAAACAGCTTAACTGTTAAGAAGGAAGGATGATCATAACTACAAAATCTGTTTTTGTTTCCGTTCACTTGAAGGATCTGAGCTTCCCAGGATTGTGAGCCACTGCTGTCATGGGGCCCTTGGATCTCTCAAACAGCTCAGAGGGGGCAGCACTGGTGCCGGGCAGTGCTCTGTCCACTCGATGGCATCAAGGCAGCACGAGCAGTGGCCGTACAGACCTGCACAAACCCGGCTTTGTCACGGATGTCACGAAGCACCTGGGGGTACAGATCACCCTCATCGCGGCCTACTCCCTCATCATCCTCCTAGGCCTGATTGGGAACTCACTGGTCATTTACATGATCGTCCGATACAGGAACATGCGGACGGTCACCAACTTCTTCATCGCCAACTTGGCCCTGGCAGACCTGATGGTGGACAGTCTCTGTCTCCCCTTCACGCTGGTGTACACCTTGATGGACGAGTGGAAGTTCGGGGCCGTTTTGTGCCATCTGGTGCCTTATGCCCAGGCCCTGAGTGTCCATGTCTCTATCCTCACCTTGACCGTCATTGCACTAGAGAGGCACAGGTGCATCGTCTTCCACCTGGGCCACCGCATCTCCAAGCCCCTAAGCTTCGGCATCATAGCCCTCACCTGGGTGGCCGCGGCCATCCTAGCAAGTCCCTTGGCCATCTTCCGGGAGTACAGGTACGAGGAGATCCCTTTCATAAACCTGAAGATCGCCGTCTGCTCTGAGAAGTGGCCCCATGGATCCAACCGGGACGGGATCATCTACAGCCTCTCCATGCTGCTCCTGCAGTACGTGGTGCCCTTGGGCATCATCAGCTATGCCTACGTGAGAATCTGGTTCAAGCTGAAGAACCACGTGAGTCCGAGCAACAGGAGCGAGAGTGTCTACCGCCGGAGAAAGACCACCAAGATGCTGGCTTTGGTGGTGGTGGTTTTCGGCGTGTGCTGGCTGCCCTTCCACATGTTCCAGCTGGCCAGCGACCTGGACCTGATCATGAAGTTCAAAGACTACAAGCTGCTCTACACAGTCTTCCACGTTATTGCCATGTGCTCCACCTTCGCCAACCCTCTGCTCTACGGCTGGATGAACAAGAACTACAGGAACGGCTTCCTCATGTTCTTCCGCTGCGAGCACAAGCCCGAGACCATCCACCCCGAGGGGTCCTTCAGGACCCGGTCTCACCGGGCCTTGACTCTGACCGGACCCAGCATCGGACAGCGGCCCACAGCCGTGTAGGCCAAATGCCAGGGATGGGAGAAGCAGCTTCTGACGCTAACAGTGTCATGTTTAACCTCATTAGAGAGAGCACTGCTCAGTGCAATTTGCATATGCCCGTTTACTCCGCACAAAATCGTCATTGAAAGGTTTGCAAGTGTTGCTTAGCCAGGATTTCTAGTGTAGATTTCTAGATCATCCTACAGACGCTTTGAAAACTTTCAAATCAGATCGTAGAAACAGATGCAGTGGATAGAATCAAACCTTTTTACATACATCCAATACTTTTCAATGTAAATATTTGGTCATTTCATTTTCTCCTTTTGTCTTTATTCCATCATGCACCTTATTCCACTCAATATGTTTTTTTTAATCTTTCCTCCACCCCACTGTTCCCTTCTTAAGAAGCTAATTGAATTTCCATTTCTGATCACCTGTTTCACTTTGCTTTGTCTCTTCATTTCTCTGCGTCTCTGTGAGGCTGACTGGAAAGCTTTTCTTGCAGGCATGAAACGACGTGAAACTGAAACAATGTCTTTGGTAGCAAGCACTATGTTGACATGAAGGAAACTCATGCCTTCAGCTTCGTGCCTTTTTATTCTTATCTTTTGGAAAGTCTCTACATTCTGCAATCTTTTAAACTTCTGCCACGTTTATTTAATCACAGTACCTTGGGATGATAGTCTTCAAGACTGCTCGAATGAAGAGCCAAACAGCGCTCTCTGCTATGTGTGGAACATGACCTTATCTCATTAACCAACTGTTAGCTATGTGCTCTGAAAAATATTTTGCCAGAACATAAGCTAAACTCTCTGTTTTCAGCCACACTTCAGCTTATTATATAATGAACCCAAATGTCATTTAATCATAGCAGCTTGGTATGAGTGTGTGCTGACTTATCTGGACTTGGTAGCAGCTGTCACTCAGTTTGTGGGCCGGACGATCCTACAGTCTTTTACACTTTAGAGCATGTGTCGAAACGCAACAGACGTGGTGTTGCTTGTTGACAAAAATAAACCAGAAAAGAAAGTGCTTTGACAGAAGCCTGAGGAGAAATGGAACTTGCCAGGTTCACACAAGAAACCAAGAAAGCATTAATTTAAGAAGCAGACAAAGTATTAGACAAGCTGGTTAGTGTATATAAGCATTTTAGATTGGGTGTAATGGGCATCTGCATTGTCTCCAAGTGAAACGGCATGTTTATGAAGGAGTGAGAAGCAAATTCGCATCAGAACTATTATTAGCCCAACATGCATCACTCGCCATGCCCAGGAAATGTGTGTTCAATACAGACAGGTGCAGTCTCAGGGGTTGAAGTCCTCCAGGGCTTTCAGTGCATCCCAGTCTGCAATGGATTTAGACCTAGCAACTACATGATTTCAGTTCTTATGCAAATAATCGGTTTAATTAAGACTCCAAGATTAGGCGGAAAGTGGAAAGCAGGTAACTCCGCAGCTCCTCCGGTCTGATTAGGTTTATATAGTAAATCATCATTTTTTTTGTTTTAGGTTAACAGAATTTAGATAAATATGAAAAGGCTTTTTAAGAAGCTTTATACAAACATATAAGGGAAGAAACACCTTTGCTAAATTGAATGATATATCATCTATAGTTAATGAACTTTGCAATTGCTTCCAAAAATGGTTTTAAATAGCTGCTATGATCAAAAGAGGATAACCTCTTAATTAAGAACCTTGTCAGGACAGAACACTTAATTTTTCATGTACACTTCTGCTCGCTCATACACTGAAGCATGTAAGTAAAGTAAGCAATTTTGTACTACATCCATTTAAGATACTGTATATCAGTTACAACAAAAGCAAGCATTGTTATTCTTCTGATTCTGGAACAGCACGCTACGGTTCTGTCAATTTTCACAAACCCAACAAAACAAATTGGTGTACTAAGGAGCATGTTTTTTAAAGTGATGGCACTGGCTTTCTATGAAGAGGCAAATTTTGCAGAGTAATAATTACAAGAGGCATTTCTCTCCATATATTTACTCTACAATAATCGGGTGAGGGAATGGGGGGCAGATGTTATTTTAATTTTTTTTCTAACTGTTAGATCCATAAGCCCAGCTGCCTGGCCCCTCTCTCACTGTGATCGAAAGACCTCTTACCTAAATCATGGCTTCTCAGCTCAGTATGGAATATTCCATACAGGTCTGAGGATCTAGGCAGCCAGTTCACATCCCACCCACAGCTCCCTGACAGGCTGCTGGGAAAACAGTGTGTATGATTCCATTCACAGGAGTCTGCTGTATTATTAATTGTGCCGATGTTCTGCTCAGACTGAGAATGTAACCCACTCTGAAATGAGCCAGCAGGAGAGGAAAGATGGCAAAGTAGTGTTCTTGTGGGGGATGCTGACAGTGTGGGGCAGAAACTCTTACTGCACAGACATGCAAAATCATTTAATGTTTGTGAATAAGTAAATACATTTCCATGCTCTGAGGACTAACCCAAGTGTGTGGCATTTTCCAAAAGCAGTATTTTCTGAAACTAAATTTGTTCTATTTTGTATATCCAGTTGAGATTCTTTTATGAAAACAGAGCTCCTTAATGTAAAAAGAAACCTGTTAATTGCTGGAGTTATATTGTGTTCTGATCTCATTCTTTTGTTAAAAACAAAAAATATATGTTTCTGTTTATATATATATTTAGATACACATGCTGGGGATTGGAAGGCGTTCATAACATGATGTGCAAAAACATTAATTCCAGAATATGCATGCTGTCTCAGTGATACTGAAGTAATGTGTGCACGTGAACAAGTATGCTTTAACTCCACATTGTTCACTGAACCTTTATATTTTATTTGAAATAAAATGTAAATAGTTTTAAGCAGATATGCATCACTGAAAGTATTTATGAATTTGCATTGTCACCTTATCGCACATTTATTTTGTCATGAATATAGTTGTAAAAGTCTTATTAAAATATGTAATCCCATCTATCATATTTTGGAACATGTTTGTGTTTCCCTGTCAGTTCATTAAGAAAGGATTTTGAGTGCCTGTATACACAGAGAGATTACTTTCAAGCCAGACAGACAGATGCCGTCTTTGTCCTAGATATGTGAATTTACTGTAGACTTACAAGGGTTGAGTCACAACATAAGACAGATGACATTTTAATGAATGATAAAGCGTGATGCAATGGTTTATATAGCTGCCTTGCAGTACTGGGGCCCTGGGTTCAATTCCACACCTGGGGTGCTGTTTGCATGGAGTTTGTATGTTCTCCTTGTGTTTGTTTGGGTTTCCTCCCACATTCCAAAAACATACTTAGTCGGTAGATTGGTTTGGCCGCAGGTGGGAGTGTGTGCACGTCTGTGCCTGTGCCTGTGTGTGCCCTCCAATGAACTGGCGTCCTGACTTAGCCTGACCCTCCCTTGCACCTGGTGCTTGCTGGGATAGGCTCTGACTCCTCTGTGACCGTGCAGGCAGTGGTTGAAAAAAATGCATGGATGGTGTGTTGTGTTCTTGAAGGTGTGCAGCCGGTTAATTACAGTTATATGCTTTTTATAGAGATAAGGCCTTAGATAGGTATTCTTTTCAGTTAATTTGGAAGACTTTTAAAATACACTAGTGAAAACCAAAAAAAAAAAGATATCTCCATTGTTATATTACCTGCATGCATAACAGTTCATCCAGAGATTTGCCTTTCTGACATAAAGTTATCATATGAAAGTAGAAAGAAAATAATAAATGGCCACACCTGAAGAAGGATCCACGGCCGAAACGTTGTATTTTCTTTCTTCTCTTTTCAGCATGAAATAAACCTTTACTTGTTCCTTTGCAGCCCACGCATGCTGACGCAGCTACCCACCTAAAATAATTTTAATTCATATCGAACAGTGTAGTCAAACGCATTTAAATATCTCCATTTTGGGGTTTGGAAAGACTAAACTACTCGCCTACTGAAAAGGTACACACGACAGGAGGACCTTCGGCTTATCTTGTTTTTCTCAGAATTGTGTGTACCCATCCTGCTGCTGAATTTATCTTGCGCCGGAGAACAACAGCAAAGGTCACATCTGCGAGCTGCGGCTTTTGGCCGATTCCACAAGGGCACCACGGCGAGCTGCAGCGCCCTCTTGTGTGCAGACGCCCGACCCGACAGGGCGCTGATTTTCCTCGTACTGTACGCGCCTCGTTCTCCGGGTTCATCCCGGTCTCCCGCCGCGACGTCGCGGCGCGATCAAAATCTGGGCGAGGCCGTGTGCCCCTTGTGCTTTTTGCTTGTGTATTAACAAGAAGAGGAGCGGTGCTTTATATTCCGGATCATAGCTGCCCGGTGTTTCTGTTACAGTGGCGGATGACAGACGCTGAAGATGAGCGAGTTCGAGTCAGTTCTGCATCTGTAACAACGGGCCCTTCAGCCCATGACCAGAATACCAGTAAAGCGATTACTGCAATTCCCAGCAAGTTCAATCGGCCTTCCCTCTCATGCACAAAGGAGCCATTTCCTGCGAGTCAAAACCTCATGTCAAATATCTTCTACCTGTGCATTTAACTACATTTCTCCTCAGGAATTCAGCAAGATGTATTATAATGCACCAACGTCGCCAAGAAAATGCACTGTACAGTATATAAATGCGCTATAAGCAAAGGTCGTCTTGTATTCTGCTCATCTTCCTACCTGATAGGTTATGTAATAAGAAAGCATACCAAATGGTCAAATGGTCTGTCATTCATTACTTATACAATACATTCTGCACATTTTGTGAAGGGCCAATAACCTCCAGATTACAGAAAATCACAGCTTTGAAAGTTAATTAACAGGGCCCAGAATAGACGAGATCCACATTTTTTTCTCTCGTACAGAAACGCGGTGCAAATAACGTGGTCCAGATCTGTGCATCAATGACATTTTTTCCTATAGAATTTACGCTCTAAATATTTGAGAGGAATGAAAGTGCACCACTCATTTGAAATTTTAAACACTTCAGTTGGCACTACAGAACCATTTATCTTTCATGCTGGTAACTGCGAGTCCACAAACAGATAAATATTGCTGGGTCTGGTGCTCTTATGATAATTGATGATTTAAAAGTGCATATAAATACTATGATGTAAGATGTAATTACAACTCAGAATATTGTTGCTCTTGCAATACGCTTTATTAAAAGACACTATTGCGTGCCCTCTCGTGGTATAGCGTGGTACTGCACGTCTGCCTTCATTGTTTTTTTAAAGACAAAGCAGGACGTGAGACAATCAAACGCACGAAGTGTTTAACACTGCACGGAGGACATTGGACAAGCCAGACGTGCGTGGAAATTTCTCCTTTACTGTACTTCTGAAGAAATATATTATATTATTGGGGATTACAGTGCTAAAACGAGTACAAAAAATGGAAGGGTGAGAAAAGTGTACCAAAGTACATATTGTAGCGACTTTGGGTTCATGGCGGTTTCTGCCCTTGCTGCTCCTGCCCCAGTTCGTCCCCCACCTCAGGATCGAACCTGGGTCTCCGCTATGGGCAGGGGAGTAGAGGGCAGTGCCGTCACCGTGCTGCGGCCGGCTCGTACCACCTGTATGCCGGCCGTTCGTTACACTCTCCATGGCTTAATTTTCGCCTCAGCGAAGCGTTATCCAATCGCGCCCCTGACACCAATGTAGCCATGTTTAGTCTTGAACAGAGAGGATTACGTGGGGACTTGATCCAACTTTTCAAAATCCTTAAGGGCACGGACCTCGCCAACCTGGAGGAGACCTTCAAAAGGAACAGCGAAACAGGAGCCACAGGACACAAAGGATTGTGGGAGCATGGAACGAGCTAAACATCCATGTAGCTGAAATCGAACCCAGGTTGTGATCCTTGGATCAATACGCTACTAACCACCAAACAGGCCCGATGGGTTAAATGGTTCCTCTCATTTATAATTTGTAAGGGCGCTCCGGCTCTTTCTTGTTTGACTTGATTTTTTGCACCTGCCTCCTGTTCCAGTCCTTCCCTTTAAAAGCCAGATGCTCCTACCAATTCAGGCTCAGCTTTGGAAGACGACGCTGGGAAGCGCGTCTACCAGTGGGTCCAGGAGTGGCTCGACGGCATAGGCTTCGCAACGGCGTTGTCACGAAGCGCTTTTCAGGACCCCATGCAGACGACAGAATCCGGAAAGGAGTGAGACAAACATGGGGAAAGGAGACTAGGAACTGGGCTGGTAGACGAACTGGGGGGTGTGTCGACATGGCACTGGTGCTCAGGGTGGGGGTGTGGTCCAGGCAAACAGCCCCAGTGGAGTCCGAAGGGTAATCCAGAGTGGGTGAAAGTCCAGAGCCGGGTGATCCATCCATGATAAAGACGACAAGAGTTAAAAGCTGGAGCAAGATCTGGCGAAGGGTCGGGAAACAGAAGGGGTAACAGGGCCAGGCGCTCCAAGCCCCGGACCAGAATTTTGCCTACTCTGGATTTCCCTATGGACTCCCTTTGGACTTGTTTGCCTTGGCCACACACCCCCGAGCACCAGCGCACCGTCGACACGCCCCCTGTTCTTCTTCCAGCCCCGATCCTGGTCTTCTTTCCCCGTGTTTGTCTCACTCCCCTCCAGATACTATTGTCTGCATAGGGTCCTGAAAAACGCTTCGTGACACAGTACTTGTTGATTAGATCGCAGATAGTTTTAGAGCCAAACCCAAAATTTTGTAAGGTTTGAGCAATAAATGGATGTTCCAGTCTGTCAAAAGCCTTTGAGAAATCTAACAATAATATTAAACCATCATCCAATATTAAGTTTAAATAATCTAACAAGTCCAGCACTAAACATATATTATAATGGCTGTTCCTTTTATAAATCTTAATTGAGTCTCACTTATTACTTGCGATAATCCATTTTCAATCTGTTTGCATAGACATGTGAGAAAATCTTGTAATCTATATTTAATAATGAGATTGACCTCCAGTTGTCAATATATTTTAAATGTTTACCTGTTTTAGGGATTAATGTAATGACACCTTGTCTCATAGTAGTAGACAAAGTATTATTGGATATGCACCCCAAAAAGGTCTGGTATAGAAAGTCTCTTAAGTCTTTCCAAAATAATTCATACAATTCAGTAGTTAATCCGTCCATGCCTGGACCGTTGCCCTCAGCTAGCCAATTAAATGCCACATCAGCTTCTTCAATTCTTAAATCTGAACCACTCCTAGCTCTGAACCTCCTAAAGTGTTCTTAACCTGAAGCTAGATTAACATAGGAACTTTAATTCTAAGACACTATGCAAGAGTTAAACTGCACCACCATGTTTCTGTCAGAAGAAATATAATTTAAAAAAATAATCGTAAAACACATTGCCGTGATCTTCCTTACTCATGAGTTTAGCCATTAAGGTTTGTAGCTTTTATACACAGTGTGTAGTACAACGGCGTCATGGCGCTGCATTAACAGACTAAACCACGGTTCTGTGCAATACCGCACAAAATCGACTTGTTGTTTATATCTATGGTCTCCACTGACAAGAACCGGAAGTGTCGTCAATCTTGACCTTCTGTGCTTCCTGACTCACGTCTCGCATGTAAGCACACACTAGTCGCACATTCTTTGCCTTTTCCAGATATCAAGGGCTACGAAAACGTTGTCAAAAACAGATCGAAATGAAAGCGTGTTGACGTGTTGATGTGGACAGGAAGAAGGATAATTCGGTGATATCTGCCGATACGGCGGTTTACCCGAGATTGCTGGTGAGTATGTCATTCATTTGACTGGCCCATTCATGTGCATCGATTACAGACCATCAGGTAGCCTAAACCGGATGTACCATTTGCTTTCAAAGTCCTATTTAACATAAATCAATATGGTCAGTGCATTATAGTTTATTTAGCTGCGACATCAAACTCACAATTACCTTGGTTTCGTCCTGTTTCAATGTTGATGTCTGTCTTTTATATTGGTAATCCTTAGTTGTGATTTCAACATCGCAGTCGGTGCAAAACTCGAAAAATAGTGGCATATCTTGGGAAACGTTAGTGTGGCGTTTAAGCGTTTAGTTTTAGAGCCTCTATCAAGAAAGTGTGCGAAAATTTTAAGAAGCTTCCCGCTCAATTCCAGTCATTAGAAATATGAGAGAAAATAATGTGTTGTAGAATTACCTGAGTCACTTATTTTGCACCATTGCAGTTATGTAAGGCTTGTGTCCACTGTGTTTGCTTGATTGACATTTAAGATGAAAAAGAGATTTTATATTGGCAGCTGTTTGGCAACTTGTTTCTGTGTAACAGTGAGCTCGTCTGCCGATCGAGGTTCTGTCTTCTCTCCACTTGCGACTCTCTCCATATCCCGAAAACGATGGTGAAGTACTTCTTAGGGATCAGTGTTCTGAAAGCCTCCTGGGACCAAGTCTTCATTGCATTCTGGCAGCGGTATCCAAATCCTTACAGGTACTATCA